CAAGGCTCTGAAGCATCAGAAGCATCTCTTAGAAGATTCTGAGTGCTGCCTCCAGAAGAATCTGAAGTAGAAGCTCCAAAAGAATCTGAAGCAGAAGCTACAGAAGAATCTGAAGCAGAAGCCAGAAGCATCTGAAGCAATGAGCAATTTTGTATGAAGAGTTTCAAGCACAGTTACTTCAGAAGACTCTGATAGTACTAACGCTGTCAGTACTGAGGATCTGATTCAAAACTCTGCTCTGAATATTTACACGCTGAAAGCACACATGCTGCAAAGACTCTGATTCAGCAAACTCTGATGAACATCAGAAGGCTCTGATCTATCCAGACTCTGATGATTCTTGCTGAAACTTGTTGAAGAAGAATTCAAAGTTATATCCGTTGAAATGACCAAACGACTCTTTCCTTATTTATGCTAGACACAAGAACACAGACAAAAAGGATTTTTCTGTGCATTCTTCTTCTAGGAAAGGTCATGTGATGTGAAGACAAAAAGGCTCAGACCTTTTTGGTACACTGTTCTCAACGTGAAAGACTTCATGGACCTCTGTGACTATAAAAGGAAGACTCCATTCATCTTCTTTAGTTGACGAAATACTTGAAAGAAATCAATACAAACTCTCATACAACTTACACATTCTTGTTGAATTTATTTCTTTGTTCTTAAATCTTAAGTGAAAAATCACAGTTGTGATAAAGCTTTATTAGAAGCATTCTTAACACTTGTATTATTACATTTGATTGTAAGAAAACCTTAAGAAGATCTAGTTAGGATCAGTAGTTCTTAAGAAGACTTTGAACAGTTGTTCTTAGTGCTTACTATTGTAATCAGTTGATTAAATAGTGGATTAAGTCCTTGTTTGAGAAAGGCAAATCACTCTTGATAGGGTGGACTGGAGTAGTTGAGTTCAACGAACCAGGATAAAAATCCTTGAGTTTTTATCTTCATACTTATTCAACCCCCCCTTCTAAGTATTTTCTCACCTTCACAATACACCTAACTGCTAGAATGTGTGCGCTAGTATCGTCAACCTTTTCTCTCACCCTGTGCGATCGAGAACACCATATTTACCGTAGTTAGCCTGAACTACGTTTTGCTCTGATTTCTCATACCAGATGAGAATACGTAGGCACAAGACGCGACGTCTTGGCGAGCAATCCCCCCGGTAGTTTCCTGAACTACGTTGACTCTTACTTTCCCATTGCACGAGGGAATATGTAGGCATAGAGCGACGACGCTCTATCAAGTCAGTTCTTTCTGTTCTTTTCAGTTCTTCCGTTTAGCTTTAGCAGCCGTAGATAGTTTGTTTTTCACCCATAGACTAGACAACAAGCGTGGATCCCGTCGAGTACGACGGATGTGAGGGGGTGCTAATACCTTCCCCTTGCGTAACCGACTCCCGAACCCGAGATTTGGTTGCGATGCCCGATCTTATCCCTCTTTTCGTTAGGTTTTCTCTGAGCGTTTCCTTTCCCTCTCTTAGGATAAATAACGCACAGTGGCGACTCTTCTGTCATTGTCGGTCTCGATTTTCGTAGTAGCGACACATGGCAATAGTCATAAATCCTAGTATAATCCTCGAGGAAAGAACCATCAGTCATATCTCTAGCTGCAAGTCTATCTCTTATGGCCTTAGTCTTGTTGACATCTACATTCCACTTATTTTGTGCCTTTTCCTTTATATCCTTAATCTTCATCCTAGGATTGTTTTTCAAGGAATTTTGAATCCTTTTGCTCAACCATTTAATGTGCATCATCTTCACATTATACTTTCTAGTGCAACTATGAATGTCAACTACCTTCCTTAGTTATGAAGAATCCTCATTAGGCAACTTAGCATAATACGCTTTCCACTCACATCCATCTTTATACCTAACCTTCACTCTTATCTTGTCATTTTTAGTGAACTTCAAATTTCTGCCATATTGAACTGCATATGAGGTTATTGCTTCCTTAAAATCACCTTTGGTACTAAAATACATTCTCACCTCTCATTTGTAATTGGATATGTCTTTTTGTAACTTGAATATTGGGCACTTCTTTCTCCTAACTCCAGTGCTCTCATCACTCTCACACCCACTTTCTAGATCTCCACTTTCATTATCACTCCCTTTAAATTCTTCCTTGTTTTCTTCCCATTTTTCTTTACCTTTTTTGGTGTTTCTCTCTTGATCATCTTCATTTACATAGTCAATTAGATTACTCATTTCATCTTCCTCAACCAATTCACCATCATACTCATTAGACTTATCATCAAAGCTACCTCCATTGCACTTTCATAATTGAAGCTCTCATCCTCAATGTCATCAGAACTAACATCATCATGCACCTCACTACCCTCATGCCCATTATCATCATTTGCCTCAGTTTCCATTACCTTAGTTTCTATTGCCTTAGTTTCCTTCATCTCAGTTTCTTTCAAATCAATTTCCCTTGCCTCAGTTTCATTCATCTGAGTTTCCTTCTACCCCCATTAAATAGTTATTCATACATTACAGCAAGTACTTCTTCACTCTCATTTACAATGTCATCGTGATCTACTTCTATCTCATCAAGGAGACCATCATAATACTCAGGTTGAAACAATTTGTGTTGAATATAAATATTAACACTAAGATGCACCCTATATAGATCAATAATCTCTAAGGCACCTTTGTCATCAACCAACACATTCATTACAAATGTGGGATCGCTGTAATATATTTTTTTTTCTATAACACTATAACCCAACTCCTTAAAACAACCTAATAACTCAAAATAACTCCACATATCAACCTCTATTTTCGAATCAGTCATTTCTCCTCCTTCGTACACACTAAATTCCTCATCAACGAATTCACCATTCTGATGGATTTTTAGATGTAATTGTTCGTCCATTTTAAACTATGCCTTAAAATAGAGGGCAGAAAAAGATGGATTTCAGAAAGATTCCATAAATCCTAAAACTACAACATTTAAAATTTGCAGAAAAATCACTTCAAACATACCTCTAGTCAACAATGGTGTCTTCAATTTCACTTTCAACGAACATTTTCGCTTCAAATCGCAACTGATGCACGTTCTAGGAACGTCAATGGCTCTGCTAGGGTTTTCTAAATGTGTTTTGAAAAAAATTGTTTCACTTTTTTAAGGTTGTGCACTTAAATTCCACATGGGTGATACATTCCACATCAGCTACACGTGTGCGCCAGTTGTACATTTATATTAACTATGACTAACGAGACAAACGAAAAGGACGAACATCATACTATTTGAACAATTAAATGATCAATTTGATTCTTTTTTAAATTGAGAGATCAAAATAGATCCAAGGTAAAATTAAAAAAAAAATGATATTTTGCCCAAAGAAAATTCTAACTTTATTTTACAAAAGAATGGTTCATTTCTTCATAATATCAACCATATAAAGATATATATATTTCTTTCTTTTAGAGCTTACTCAAAAATTCTTTTTGAGCTAATAAAAATCAATAAATTCACCAACCAAGCAAATACAAAAAAAAGGGAATTAATTAAGGTAAATTCTTTGGTACCCATGCATTTAAGTTGGGTAGCGATACTTTTAATGTAAATTATAAAAAAAAATTAATTTTTTTAAAAATAAAATAAAATAATAAAATGATATGACATTAAATCACAATACTTGATTGATTGATAATAGGGGTGGCAAAACGGGTCGGACCTGTCGGGTCGGCCCGTTTGACTCGTCATTTTTTTACCGGTTGGACTGAGATTTTCGGCTCGGTACTTTAAGTTGGTTTGCCCCGCCTAACCCGCTTGAAAAAGCGGGACGAGATGGATCCACGGGCTTTTTGTTAAAACTTTTTATTTATTTTTACTTAGAATTAAAACAACTTTAACTATAAAAACAACACTCTTATCTTAGGTTTATTTTGATTGAATTGTATTATAAATTATTATACAAACAAAATAAATTATAATTGTAACGTTCTTTCTATAACTTTCTAATACATGTGTTGATTGGAAAAACTTAAAATAAAAGAACAATTGTATGTCATGCTAAATTATTAAGTTGTCAAACATTAGCTCAAATGTTTTCTTTAAAAATAGATGTTGATTTTAAGAAAAAGAAGGATTTTATTAGTGTATATGTGTGACAAAATTAGAATTTAACTATTAAGGAATCAGTTAATATAAGAGTCTATATGATATAAACAATGAGAAAGTCATATATTGATATTTTATGCCTTACTATTTTATGCATTGTGATGTTTTATACAATATAATTGTTATCATTGTTTGTCTTTTGTAAATTTTTAATTAGATTCTTTTAGTAGTTAGTTTTAAATAGGATTAGGATGATAAATATTATTTATTTATTTATTTTGATACGTTTTTTTATTGTGTTTGAGTTTATTTTGTTTTTTTTTGTTATAGTCGGTCTTTATTTATTTTATTTTTTTGAATAGATTGGACTTAAAGATATGTTAAAGTTCTTTTATGCGTTCTTAAAAAAATATTTTGTCGACCTCTTTGGTAATAAATAAAATTTTTGTAAATTATATAGTAAATTAAATTGTAAAATAAAAAATTAGCAGACCGGTTCACTAACCTGTCAATTCGTTACTAAACGGGACAGACATGACTTTTGAACTCGGACGCCTAAGTTGATCCGCTCCGCCCCGCCTTTTCAGGACTTAAACGAGACGGACCTAAGCAGGGCAGGTTGTCCACTTTATCACCCTTAATTGAGAGTATCGATACCTAACTAATTTCAACTATCGGAGTGTTCACCACTAATTAACTCTTCTATTACTTATTTTCACCCGCATAATCTAGTTAGTAAGTAAGTATAATATAAAGTAATTAATTACTCCCTATAAGTATTAAAGAAAAGTCAAATATTCCCTTAATCATATATTCATATCAGATAAAGTCAAGCATTAATAACTTGTTTGAATCAATACTATAATCCATCCATCTAAAACCAATGTTTGAATCTTGTTAGAGAAAAGGAAGAAGATAAAGTAGAAAAAGGGATGAGTGAGATTTGTAGGGTTTGGTGTTTCATAATTCCATTTTTGTTAATCTGCAATTTCCATGGAGCCTATTGCTCCTACGCAGGTTCCACCAATGCGATCATCGATCCAACTAAAGTGAGACAGGTTTCATGGAAGCCAAGGTCTGTTTCTAAATTCACTTCTCAGATTCTAAATTTGGCACTGAAATCATTGTGTTGTTATAATGATTTTGATTTTGATTTGAAGCAGAGCTTTCGTTTACGAAGGTTTCTTGACGGATTTGGAATGTGATCATTTGATTTCTATAGCGAAATCGGAACTTAAGAGATCTGCGGTGGCGGATAATTTGTCCGGTGAGAGTAAATTAAGCGAAGTCAGAACAAGCTCTGGCATGTTCATTTCTAAGAACAAGGTTCCTTTGCTTTCAGTTCTTCTTTTTCTATATTTGCCAATTTATTATTATTCTGAATCCTCTTTCTTATTATTATCATTATCAAATATTTCACTACTTTTGGAAGGTTTAAATTAATAGCATATCCATTATAGTTTTAAATAGTGTTATGTAGTTTCTTCCAATCACCCTTGCGCCGACCTTAATTTAAAACCCTATATTATAATCATAATTCATGGCTACGGGTGGGGTAGATGTAGATTTAACATGCTTTCATACCATTTGTGTTTGACACTTTTGGTTTTCTAGCATCAGAAGTAGTGAATCTTTTAAAGAGAGTGCAAAGACTCATGCATAACAATGTTGTATCTCCTAGGACAATGACAGTAGTTTTTAAGAGAATTGATTTCGCCATCCAAAAAAGAATAGCAGCGCAACTTGTTGCTCGTTTGCTTGCTATTTCTGTATAATCTTGTCAAAATAGATAAACTACTACTACGTGGTTTGTATTACTAATTCGGTAATCCAATCATATACTAATAATTTCATATTATGCCTGACTATTATTTTGTGTGTATTGTGTGGGGCTACATCACTATAGAGGAATTATCTGTTTGGTAATAAAATGAGAATTCTATGCTCTATGATCTGCTATGATCTGCACAAATATGTTTAAAACTTTTTTTTATTTGCTTTTATGTTGTTTGAAAGTACTCAGATTTTGTGTTTTGGGATTTCCGTTTGATTTTGAAGGTCAAGTTTTGCTTTTACTAGTTGTGAATTGTGTGATGTTGGAGTATTAGACACAAACAAGCTCTTGTTCTCTCCTTCTTGTGAAAAGAGCACGACTATAAACAAGGATTTTATAGAAGAATAACATGAGATTTATAGAAGAATAACATGAGATGTTTGGGAGAATATTTGGATTGCAGATTTGAAGTTGTTTGACATTTTACTGGGCGTGTAAAAATTGCAGGGGATTTTTTTCGGTCTTTCTGTTGTTTGATGACGTCAAAAAATTTATTTATAAAAACTAAAGTACTTTCTGAATTTTGTGAGCTTTTTGCTTATTCTGTTTAGTTATTTTATAGGATGCCATTGTTTCTGGTATTGAGGACAAGATTGCATCCTGGACCTTTCTTCCAAAAGGTATGTCATATAAAAATCATGATTAAATTCTATGTCATCTGATAGAAACTAAAATTTACGGGTAACAAAGGTGTATGATTAATTGCAAATGGTTGAGCTTAAAACTCTTACAATGGTAAGAATGCAGAACAAGAAAAGTAAAGTAGAGTTTTATGAACTCCTAATCCAGAGAGAAGTCTCCCCTAACTGTTTTCTAACAAACTTTCTGAATGCATTTTCCGCTCCCCTTCAGTCTCTTTTAAAACAGATGATTCCTTAAAATCGGGGAATATTCTACCTGACTTTTATTCTCGCAGCTTCTACCAGCTACTAGAAGCTGTGCTGATGTGGACTGAGACCAATGATTGGGTCATCGCACATATGAGAACTCATTGTTCTATTAGCATCCTTCTAGAAGCTGCTGAACTTATATCCGTGTTCCAGTGAAATCAGATGCAGGGGTTATGGTTTTCTTCTTATTGCTAATTTTGTTAGTTATTCTTGTTGTATAATGTATGGCCTAAATACAAACCAGTTGTTTTGGCTTCACGCATAACAGTTAAAATAGGTGAGAATGTAAGCTAATTATTCTCTGCATTCTTTCCTTGTCCCTTGCTACGGTAAGTCAAAATCGGGTGTCACCGCAGTCTTTGGCTTCAAAATGAAGTCTTTTAGGCAAGGGAACAAAACATGCATGGGAAGAATTTGCTGTATACTAATCATGAATATGTTTGCTTGTTGAATAAAACTGAGGCAAATGAGTTTAGGAATGAACCGTGATGATAATTTTAGGTTTTAGAGTTATTATGATTTATGAAAACTATATGGTACCCGATCCCAGTCTATCTCTTCCATCTGTATCCGTACAACTGTGGGTCTTCTCCTATTTTCTCTCATTCCCTCTCCTTAGAGGTGCAAATACGCCATACCAACTAACAAGGGTCTACGGCCTAGCCTACACAGACTTAGGCTAGGCCAGGTTTTTTTTTTTCAAATAGAAAAGACTTAGGTTTTTTTTTAAGCCTATTTAGTTAAAGATTCTGCTATAAAAAAAACATTTTAAGCCTATTTAAATAAATATGAATAATTTTATTATTATTATATTGTATTTGTATTTTGAATTAAAATAAAAAAGTAAAGCTTAGTTATCTTGAAGAACTTATGAAAATAAGTTTAAAAAAAAAACTTATGAACAGTGTCATAAGTTGTTTTCATAAGTTCTCTCAAACAAATAGAATCACAAAACTTATGTTAATATGTAAACTTGAATAAGTTAATGCAAATAAGCATTTAGTCTCATTGATTTTTTAATTTGTTAGTCTATTTAAACATTAATATAATTGCTTATTTACAAACGTTCAAATATAATAAGCTTTTATGTAGGCTAATAGGTTAAACATGCATTCGAAAAGGTTAGCCTCAGGTCTAAAAATAAACTTATAATAGGCCATAGACCAGATTTAGGCTTTGAAATTTTTAGCAGGGCAAACTTAGGTTTGGCAAAGCCTAACTCGGCCTAGACTATTCCCACCCCTACCTCTCCTAACTCTATATCTCTCTCTTGATTTCACTCTCTTAACTATATTTTTCTTTTTTAACCAAGAGAGAGAATAAAATTGAGAGAGATAGAGAGTAAGGAGAGGGAAAGAGAGAGAATAGAAGGAGAGGATCCAAAATTATGACGTTTGGAATTGTTATTGCAATTCTATATTCATCTAAGCTTCTGATAAAATGTCACTATGACCTTTGAACTTGTTCCAATTATATAATGAAGCTACACCAAAGGAAGCTATTAACATGTAATTTTTTTAAAGGGAAATATTAACGAGTGCCTCGGGCAAATATTTTTTTTATTTGAAATAAATTCTTAACCAGTATCCGAGACACTAGTTAGTATGATTCATTTTTTAAATAAGGAAATTATTTTTGTCTATCGCATTTAATGACAACTTATATGCTATTGTACATGTCTACTTAAATATCAGTTTGAAGGTCTTAACCAACTCCATTAAATTGTTTTCTGTCCTAATTTTCCAATTTTAGTGTTGAATTTAGTTTTCAAAATGACGTTATATTACTTGTCCATTCCATTTAAGATAAATTGATTTTAAGTTGCCTGCTTGAAATGTTAAATTTATATTAATATAACTATTTCATATCTCTCAATGTGGACTTTGAATAACTTATTTATATGGAAAGACAGATAGCATCATGGTTGTCAAGATTTTGATCTAGATTTTAAAATTTTAAGATTTTCCGATCTCATTCATCCCCGACGATCCGAATCTTAAGTAGAATCCTGCATTGTAGCCAAATTGTGAAAAAAAAAATCATAAAATCATTGATTTTGTGGGATCTTTTCCAGTTTCGACTATGATTGGCCGTTTTTCGGCCACTATCACTAAAAGGTGAGAAGGATGACAACCTTGGATAGCATAACTCTAGTACCCTTTTCCCCCTGGTTATGGTAGTAGTGCTTCAAGCATTTGATTAGCTACTAGATATATTTAATTTAATTTCAAACATTAATTACAAAATATGCATTCAACAAGTGCTTGAATATTTTCCAGAAGCACCATATCCATCAGGATACTATAGTGACTCCAAAAACCGAAAGAACACTAGTAGCATTCAAAATTTACTGGAGAAAGTCAGAAATTGGGGGGCCAAATTAAGAAGTATTGTATTGGTATCATTCGAAACCCAAAGTGTTGTTTATCTTAAATTGTTATTCACTAGTTCTTCTATGCAAATAATTGTTCATAATATCATGTACCAAAAAAAGTCTTCATATGTTAGCATGATCAGTTAGGTTTTTCTTCCCTCCTTCCTCCCCTTGCCCTAAAACAGAAAAAATAAGAACATGGAGACACTAATCAATTGCTTAAAGTATTTGATTATTGAATTTCAGATAATGGCGAAGACATACAAGTATTGAGATATGAACATGGGCAGAAATATGACCCACACTATGATTACTTTTCTGATAAAGTTAATATAGCTCGGGGTGGACACCGGGTTGCCACTGTTCTCATGTATCTCACAAATGTGACCAAAGGCGGTGAAACTGTGTTCCCTAATGCAGAGGTTTGTATAGTATCTAATGCACATGTTTACATAGAATAAAAACGTAATTTTGGTAAATCATTGCCTTTATGATTTTCCGATTTATTAAGTATTTTGTTTTTGACATATCCTTAAATGGCGTTGAGTTTCGATTATCATGGATCCTTGTTTGCTGCAATTTCCGTGCAAACTGAATTTATCCTTAACAATTTTGAGGGAGCCAAATTTTCTTGTCCGACTGTCTGAGCATATTGTTTATGACTTCATGTTGGAGTATCTCTCATCTTTTTTAGTTGCTTATAATCATTCTGATACTAACTACAGCAAAAAAATTGGAAAACTTGAAACGTTTGTATCTGATTGGGACCGGTTTTCCAAATGCTCAAATATTTTAATTGTACTTGCAAACAACAGACACTATGAACACTGGTATTTCATGAGGGGTAGATTGAGGAGATGCAATATTTTCTTCAATATTCCAAACCAAATAATTGGGAGTTTCTTGGCCAATGAAATTGTTTCTGCCTTTCTTTTCCCTTATTGTAGCTAACTTTGATAATATTTTTATAATAGTTACAAGAATCTCCCCATCATAAATTATCTGAAACAAGTGAAGATCTCTCTGAGTGTGGCAAAAAAGGAGTCGCAGGTGGGGTAATTGGACATTTAGTTACTTTATGGTTTTTCTTCTGTATTATTCTGTAACTCCACTTTTGCTCCCTGTCAAATTATGTTCAATAATTGTATTTTTCTTTCTTTCCTCCCTGGGACAATTCACAGTGAAACCCCGAAGAGGAGATGCACTTCTATTCTTTAGTCTCCACCCAAATGCTATCCCAGACACTCTCAGTCTTCATGCAGGATGCCCTGTAATCGAAGGAGAGAAATATTCGGCAACAAAGTGGATTCATGTGGACTCATTTGATAAGGTGGTGGGAGCTGGAGGGGACTGCACTGATCAGCATGAAAGTTGTGAAAGATGGGCTGCCCTTGGAGAATGCACTAAGAATCCTGAATACATGGTTGGATCTGCTGACCTTCCTGGTTACTGTAGGAAAAGTTGCAAGACATGTTAAAAGTGTTACTGAATATTTTCCAGAATCCAGGTAGTGATTTTGCTTACTTTCCAGGTCCATTGATTCTCGATATGTATTATGTTTTTGTTACTGTTGTGAATTGTAGTGTATTTATGTCTCATTATATATGTTAGCTCTCTGATAGTGTTCTAGTGTCATGGTCACACTTCAAAAGGTACATTCTTGAGTTGTGAATCTGTAATGGTAGGTGATTCAAAAAATTTCCATTGCTTAATTTGTAAAACTGACATAAAAAGAAAGTATACATTAAATTTCTTAGTTCAGCATGCTTGAGAGGACCAAAAATTTCTCATTTAGCCTTGTAGACAATATTCTTCTATTTGCGGAAGTTTTAGCAGAAACGTTAGTATTATACGTTAGATTATTAATCTCTTTTGCATGACATCAGGTCAGAAAGTTAGTAAGGAAAAGGCTAGAATCTTCTTCTCCTTTAATGTTTCTTGGAAAATCAAACAATATATTTGTAGTTCCTCTCAGTTTCAAATGACTGGTGATCTTGGAAAGTATCTGAGTATTCCCCTTTTTCATAAAAGAGAGTTTGCAAGCAATTGTTTCCAATTCATTTTTGACAAAGTGGATAAAAAGCTCATTAACTAGAAGCTAAAACTTTATCTTTTTCAAGAAGAATTAAAACTATCTTTTGCAAAATTTTCTTTGTGGAGTTTCAAATGATATAAAAAATGCATTTGGCTTCTTGTAACAACATTTGCAAGCCGAAAGTTGTAGGAGAGTTAATATAAATACAATTAGTCTGATGGAAGTTGGTTGGGATTTATGTAATTGTTCACAAGATATGTGGATTAATAGGGATACCAAAGGTGGAGGTGAAGAATCAGGGTCCAAATTTTGGAGAGGGCTTTGTAAGTCTGGTCTGTTCCAAAAAATCATGTGTGGATAATCTAAAGGGATGTTGCTCTTTCCACCGTTAAGTGTTATCTCATACCATTTTCAGATACGAATCATCTCCCACTTCCCTTGCATCAACGGGTGGAAAGTTACGCCTGCCTATGATAAGGACTGCCCATGTGCAGTCGCTTTTGTTTCGTACATGGAGAATGGTGCGATCGAGTCATTCAGAGTCTCTCTTGACCGTATGGTACCAGATGACTATTGCTTTTGTCCATACGAGGGTCACCGCCAGACACGTCAATTTGACGTCATTTTCTTATATTTCGGATGACTGGCATGTGGGTCATCTCTTATGTATCCCCTGTCTGTCCGAGCGAGTGATGCGCCATTTTAGGTACTTGCAAAATATTTCGTGACCTCCCCACGAGTACGCTCCTTTCGACGTACGCCGCAGAGATCTACATGCGATACTGAATGATTTCGAGAGTCATCTGGTATCGGAGGAGTATCATCGGGAGTCAGCTTATGTACACTGGACTTATGTTGAGGGATACATGACATAGTATAGAGTTTCACACCCTATCATGACACCAGACGCTCTTCGAAGACAACATAAACCAACTAACTAGGAGGTACTTGAGGTTCAAGATGAGGAGGTCGAGAACGTGATGGCATTTTGTCGGCATGTCGCGGAGATGGGTGAGCCATAGAGGCATGAATCTTTGAAGATGACAATCTCTAATTGGTCCTCGTGGAACACAAGGTTGTCGAGTTACGAAATGTCGTGCAGTACAGACGGAGAAGGAGACAAGAGGTTAGACATACCCAATAGTTAGTTTATGTTTAAATGTATTACTTTTTTTAGTATTTTCGAACAAATGTTATGTATACTCTTGATTTTTTGAATTAATGTGTGACTTTTTGCTTTCATTTAACTTTAATATAACTTCATTTTACATTGATTTTATTTTAATATAAATTGGCCTAAAAAATCATGATGTTGGGATAATTATAATGTTCTGAAATGATTCAGGGGGTTATTTGAAGATGCATTTTTAGATATACCCAAACAATATACGGAGATGCATCTCCAGACTATAATTTTTAAAACTAGGGTGTAACTCAGAAAAGAAAAACTTGGCGTGATTTTGGATGCGTCTGGAGATGTATTTTCGGACGCATGAAAGATAATTTTGAATTTTCAACGGTGTAGTATACACATATAACATATAAGGATGGAAAGAGAAATGCTCTAAAGTAATTTTCAAATTAACTTTTGGCATAACTTCAAGATACAGACATACTTGCAAACGAGCTCTCGAAACTGATTAGATGTTATATTGATTTGAACATTGAGAGCTTTATAGATTGGATACCATTGTGCCTAATCATATTCTAAGCAAAAGTAGGGTGTTGCTAGTTCCAACTAATTCTAATGGGGGATGTTACTCTCGTTTGACATGGAGAAGATGGAAATTTTCCGTCTACAACTACATATGCTACAAAAAGTAAAAGGTGAAACAATCTGATTGTTCAAATGTTTATGAAAATGGTATAATCTTGAGAGACAAGGAATTTTCTATGGAAGGTAGCACAAGTATGCTTTCTTACTAATGATCAACGCTCGATCTCACATGATATAGGCCGATCTGTGAAGTCCAACATTGGTTGCCAATTGAGGTATTTTTGGTTGCATGACGATCATACTGCTTCTTAATAATCTAAAAGGGTATTATGTAAACGACAAGATGAAAGTGTTATGGACTACTAGAACAAAAAAAAAGTGTTATGAACTACTAGGGAAAAAAGTGTTTAACAATGTTTATTTCAATGCAAAAATAATTTCTTGTGCTCACCTTAAATTGCAAGGCATTCAATATGCTTTGAAATCTCAAAGATGTTGTCTCACAATAACTTTGATGCTCTTAGAATTCATTGTAGTGTGTGGGAGCCTCTAGTGAGGGTGCAATTAGTGACTATGGTGATCTTGTAGTTATGGCGAAGTTATTCAAATATTTTTGAATTAAAATCGCAGGAAGAAAATGACCTATTAGTAAAAGTGTGTCGTTGAAGAGATCTTTCTTCTCATATAATTTCTCATATTTATGATTTGATTGTAGTTCTTATAAATTACAAATTTCAACTTCAAAGTTGTTAAGGTTGTGTATTCAACAAAAAGTCGAAAGTAAATCAATAATTTTTTCCACGCAAACATCTGAATGATCGATTTGATTTTTATCAACTAAAAAATGCCATACTTATCTATAATATACACCCATTAAACACTATTATAAATAAATTTGAATTTTTAAATATATTTGACTTTTTAAATATATTTGACTGTTAATGTATCTAATTTATATATAGATAAATACATGTAAAAAAAAAAATTATTTATAACCGTGACCAAATGGTGTATTCAACAATTCATATTCTATTTTAAATAGAAAAAAGAAACATTAACATTAAATCATCAACTATTGGTAATTACTACTTTATTAAGTACTATTTTGCAAATTTGTTGAAATTATTGACATATTTCATAGATCTTCCAATTTCCAACATCTTCCTTAAGTAGTTATACAACTAGTGAAGCCAAGACAAAACCGTTATCCCAATAATAAGAGAAAAATACAAAAGCAAACGTTGAACAATTGATGTGGACACTTGGTGCTATCGCAACCTTCAAAATTTGAACAAGACATTTTGTATAAGTATATATATAATGGAGATGGTGGAACTTGGAAGAGCCAAGAGAACAAAGGAAAGGATCACATAGAATCATGTCAAATCACATGAATGAGAAAGATGCCCATGTTTTGTGTTCCAATTTAAGATGCTCAATAATTTTTGTTCCCAAAGATTTTTCATGTTGCTCCTATCACATTATATAATTATTGAGTTTAATACTTTTGAACATGATCTAAAACTAAATTTGAGTGACTATTGTTTAAAAAAAACCTCACACATGTTCTAAAAGTTTAGTGATTATTGTCTTTAATCTAGTATTGTATTACTATTAGAAACTTAACTGGCCTTTAATTATGTCATTAGGACACATGACATTATGGTGGATGAGAGTTGCACATAAACTAAAATTTCATTTTTAAATTAATGGTTCAATTAAAATTTAAATGTTTTGGTTTATTTTTATAGGAGATCAATTTTTTTTAGCATAATTAAACAAATTATAAAACTCTATTTATAAGTTTAGAGAGATAAAGAATGCGAATCAAAACATACAGAAAATTTAATACTACTGTGTGTTTATGATCGGGTTCAAATTTTATTTACTAATAAATATTGACTCAATTAATAAAATTTAAATTTTTTTAATGTTTGCCGATATAAATAATATTTTATAGATACTAATAAATATTGACTAAGTTACAAGTTAAGAAATTAAATAGAAAATATTAATCTTAAAAGTCATACTTTTAACATTTTAATATAATCAAATACTTAAATTAAAATTTATAAGTATCATATCAAATCAAATATATATGGGATCAATAATTTGATTTATATGTATGAATCTTATCAATAAAAGACAATAATGTCTTAAAAAAAAGTGTGTTTGAAACAAGCCTTTAAATTATATGACTCATGTTACCACAACCCTAAAAAGAAGGGGAAATACATTGTATTTCATTTCCCACGCGAGCACTGTCTTGTTTGTTGTTGTGACCTGTTTATACTTCATAACACAACAAATTCCTACTACAACTCATTCATACTATAAAGAAAGATCACAACTTTGCAAGAGAGAGAGAGAGAAAGCTTAGGTGGGTTCTTCTTCAATTTCAAGGTATACCATTTTCTTAAAGATCAAAACTTGAACACCTTAACGCAACTGGGTCACTTGTTTCTTTTGTGATTATTGACATAACAATAACAAGTGACTTGTTTGTTTAGAAACATGGATGTGGGTCAGATGCGGAGACAATGGATGGAGTACATCAAATCCTTGTTCGTGGAGGTTAGTTAGACCACCAAACATACACTGTCTCTTAAATTTGTTGTCTCTTATGGGATGTGTGTTTTTTGTTTTTGTTTGTTAGATGTTATTTAGAATGTTTTGTTTTTGATTTTTGATTTTGTGTCTCTTTTTTCCCTCTTTTGTTTATGGTGAATAAAAGGGGTTCTTAGATGGTCAGTTTCTGCAACTTCAACAGCTACAAGATGAGAATAACCCTGAATTTGTTTTTGAAGTTGTTTCTCTTTTCTTTGATGACTCTGAGAGGATTCTCAAAGATCTGTCTTTTGCTCTGTGAGTACTTCCTTTTTCCTTTTTTTCATGTTGATTTTTAGAGAATATGATGAATCATGATCTTTGATTTTCATTGGGTTTTACATGTGCAGGGAGCAGCAAAGTGTTGACTTCAAAAAAGTTGATGCTCATGTGCACCAGTTTAAGGGGAGCAGTGCAAGGTAGACTAATCATGTTTTTTCACTTGTTTAAGGTTGCTATCCTATGTGGCACTGACACCTCTGAAAAAAGACGTCTCAGTGTCTTGTCTGTGTTTGTGTCTGTGCTTCTTAGGTGCTACTGTATATTTTTAGTTTGCTAAGATAAATTTGTATGTTTGTTTAACAGCATAGGTGCACAAGGGGTGAAAAATGCCTGCATTGCTTTCCGCAACTTCTGCGAGGAACAAAACATAGATGCGTAAGTGGTTAATCTTCATTTTGACTTCTAAACTGCAAAAGTTTGAAGAACAAAGTTTCATAAATTTTTACTAAGTTCTTGGTCCAATCATATGTATAATTTCTTATCTGTGCAGTTGCCGCCGATGTTTACAGCAAGTGAAACAAGAGTACTTTGTTGTTAAGAATAAGCTTGAAACATTGTTGAGGGTAAGTAACTTAATAATGAAATTCAGCTGTAGAACATTATATTATATTACAGTTCTGGATTTGCAATTTATGTTTCTTGTGTGAATGTTAACTGCAGCTCGAGCAGCAGATAGTTGCAGCTGGTGGCTCGATCCCTACGATGGAACTGAGTTTTTGAAGTGAGTGATATGTAAAAATGCTTGTATTATGATCCCCTTGTCTGTCGAGGATCATCTATTTCTCTTATGTCTCTTGTGAATGTATGAATTTTTATGTGGATAGAAGTTTTCATCCAATGTACCTTGTTCTTCACAAGAAAACACTTTCATAATATGTAATATTTTTCATGCTTTAATGAAGGTTAACCGCACCATTATAAGATAGATTAGCTTTCTACTCGACTTCCGTCTTAAGTCTCGAGTTCTTTAATGAGCTCCAATAATCTGGAGTTCAACTTAGTCAAAGATTGTTTAAGTCAGAATTCAAACTCGGTTGTTCTTTAATGAGCTCCAATAATCTGGAGTTCAACTTAGTCAAAGATTGTTTAAGTCAGAATTCAAACTCGGTTTCTCCAACCGGTAGTAGACTAGTTGAAATCATTTTGACGACTCTATCATTATCGTTACGTGGCAACATCCTATAGGTCATTAGTTGGCAATCCTTGTGGTTGAAAATTAAAGTTGTATAAGCTAATGGGAGATGTAAAGTCACTTTATTAAGGAATAAGAAACTAATTAAGGACGGCTAATAATAATTTAAAATTGATTAGCAAGATAAGAAGAATCTTGAGGAGATATGATTCTTTAGAAAACAAATCATGATGTGGTGGCATTGTCCCTTTGTCTACTCCTTAATGGAGCAAATTATATAGGAAGAAGTAAATGTTGAAATTATACAATTATTTTATTTCTCTTTTGTGTAGCAACAGATATGTTTTTTTTTATTTTTTTATTTTTTTATTTTTTATTTTTTTATTGTTCTTATCTTAGGATGCTTTCAGCCAGATAAGACATGTCAGCCCCACAGTAGTAGTGTCATCTCACCAAACATCATGCTGTGAATGATTTTGTTGTTTTCTTTTGATGTATACACTTAGTGTGTGTTTGGAACAGCTTCATAAGTAGTTTCTGTCATGTGGATAGCTCCATTTTCTCTTTTGTTCTTTGAAGCTTCCTACTTTAGCTGATTGGTTTGAATCACCTAACCTCGTTACATATATCTCATGATAAGTTTTGGCATCAACATGAGTTAAAATTCTCACTAATGTTCCATTTTTATTGTCCACCACTATTTTTCCGTCGGTAGATTCAAGCCCTTCAGCAAATAGTTTCACTGATTTCGACTCAAATTTTACGTCTAGAACACATGAATGACCGTTTGCTAGAACAACAGCACCAAGAATTTCCCCCAAAAATGTATCCTGTATAAGATATAATCATCAAACACAAACCAAAACAATATGGAGAACCGAAAGATTGTATTTCTTAGAGAGTTTGTCCTATTAGAACGATGAAACTTGATTTTGCAATGTGTAAATTTCAATACTGAAGTTATGGAGTGAAATGAGCATTTACCATATGTTGATATCTGTGATGGGATTTCCTTAAACGGAGTAGCCTTGAAAGAAGATGCTTAGAAAACACTGCTTCGGGTGTTCTTTGTGTTTTTCCAAACAAGTTTAAAGTACTTGAAAAAGAACTTGCTTTGCGCTGGATACCAAGTGGAATGAGTGTGATGTTAACTTCTGATTCGAACACTGTCTTGGCTGCTAAAGGGTCGAGGAACATATTGAATTCTGCATACTTGTTAGAAGGAACAGAAAAGAGATTTCCTTTGTCATTGCCACTCTTGCTGATATGTCCTCCCACTACATAAACTTCCTGAAACATTTCGGAACTGTTATGCTTAATTACCACAAGTTATAACCATAAGTTCTTAACTTAACAATAATGCATTTTTGAATTAACGGCGAGTTTGTCAAAATTGCAGCTATGCACTGATTTTGTTTTGAAACTCGAGTGTAATTTTTATCAAAGGCACAGTGGAACACCATGATTTTTTTCCCCTCAAATTCACTGTCAATCCGTACGCGCACAAAATGTTCAATACCTAATCAAGTTAGAATATTCAGTTTTATGTTTAACTAAAATATAACTTTCATCAAATGACATAAAATTTCTATTCAGCTGAATATTGCTGCTCATTTGTTGACTTACCTGAATTCTGGAGCTTATTTTTCTAACTGATACAACTTTTGCCAAATTAGTCAAAGGTCCATTAGTTAACACTGTAATCTTAGACCCTGGTTCTAATGTTTGTAATATTGACTCCCAAATTTCCATAGCTAGTGGTTGTCTAAGTTCAGGTTGATCAGTATCTCTAGGCGCTCCAAACTTCACGGAGCTTTCTGCTGTGTACCTGACTCACATGTCCACAAATTATTATGCGCGCCTACGGACATTTCATAAAACACAAAAACCAAAGGATACTGGTAAAAAAATTACGGTTAGGTGTTTGAAACTCTATCAATGACAAACATTGTCTTAGGAGAAATTTAGGTTCTCCTCATCCTCATGGTTAAATGACAATTTGTCCATCGGGACGAGGAGGATCACAAGGTTTTACTTCTGAAAGACGTCTTCAATAATTTCCAATATTGTTCACATGGTGATACTATTTATTTCATCTTGACACAGTTTATAGATAACATATAGTACCATTATTTATTTGATAGTAATGCTAACTTCCATTCCCGACAAAAATATAACGGTATCAATAATGTCCTATGCAACGTAAAGTTGATGAGACTTATAAGGCAAGAAACTAAAGTAACTTGTGTCCTAGAAAGCACCAACCTTCTAGGGCTACGTGGCAAATCGCGAGCCAGTCCAAATAGAGTGTCAGAATCAATAAGCCCACCATTTCCATGAGGTATGGCTTTAACATAGTTGCAACCTCCAACAGGTGGAAAATTCGGGTTTGATTGGTTCATAGCGAAAAAATCACCGATACCGACTTTGATATCGTCGCGACCCATCATGTGCAGTAAGTCATAGATTACATCTATTGTTGCTGCATTTGCCCACCCTGTTGGGCTTACAATGATTGCCTAAAACACCAAATGTGCCATATTAGTCTATCTCTCAATAGCTCAGATGATGCAAATAAGCACGAAAAATCGAAATACCTTAAGGTTGATGAGTTCAACAGGAACTTTAAGGAGGTAAGATAGTGCAAGAAAATCTCCTGCACTCATGTCCATGTCGAACACAACAGGTTTCCCTAGTACTTTGTTTTCGAAATCTGGCTTATAACTTACTTCTTCATAGTAAGGAAACTCTGAAGTGAAATTGAACCTCCCAGCCTGTTGTGGTTGCTTTAAAATCTACGAAAAAATCAGAAAGCGAAATTCACATACCAACGTCATGATATCGTTTTTAAGACCCCGGCAACAATTAGAGCACAAATATTAAAAAACAGACATACATTTAAGAAGCTTATGAAGAATTCTCTGTCAAGTAAGTTCTTTTTATCTTTGTTTGGCTTTGCTTTTGTGGCAACAAGTACCTTCACCGAGTCTTGACCATCCACCCCCTCTGTGTAACCATCCTATACAATGTGGAATAACAGCGAGACGTTATTAGATGCATGTGTAATATTTTTTACAGAGAGGCCCTGTGTAGGTTAGTTACGATTTAATTGTGGCAAAGAAAATAGAGGCACTATTTTGAAACGGTTTAACCATGACAAAAATTTTGAAGTCCTATTTAGCCATGATTTAACCATGTTACATTTTGGGTCGTGTGCGGTAGCCCGTCTTTTACGCCCTCAAAGACGGCCTTGGTAATAGTGTATACCTGACATCTTCCTGTGCCATTCTTAACAAAGCAAAATGGATCTGTTAGTTCTTGTTGAACGTGACCACTATGGACAGAACCTTTCTTAAGATTGAATTTAGGAACTTCGAGGCCATCGAATAACGGATTGGAGCCATCGGATACACCATAAGGTTTGTTTGAAGTAATTACAGTTATATTCATATACTCCATTTCAGCAAATTCATTTTCTCCTTTGTTTCTATAAGAGTTCCTCATGATTGAAGCTGCTACACCAACTGTGAAAGAGTCCCACATAAAATAACTCGTATAAAAGTTATTGTCGAACCAAGTATCGCGTGTCATTTTCAAGGACTTGAAACAGTATTGTGCTTCGTACGTGTCTTGACTCTTTTCAAATTCGTCGAAGAATTGTTCATTGATGGGGATTGTGTTTGTTGCATCAAGAGGAACAAGAGTTATAGGAATACCAGAATGAATCACCTGCATGTTACTTTATGGTCGGTCAATAACGAAAACTATATATACATTTATCTACGCGTTATAAACATTTAATTTTATCAAACGTAATATCAGATAGTTTTACTAACCTGATACGCTGCAAAAGGGTCTCCGAATATGTTGAACTCCGCATAAGGGTTAGCTTTATAATTTGTGAACAAATTGCCAATGTCACCACACTGGCTTGGTAAGCAAGAAAATGAAGAATTTTTCGGGCAACAACCAGTGGGATTTTTCGATCTTACACCACCACCCATGATGTAAATATGTTCCACATTCTTCTTTAGGTGCGGATTATTTTCGAGAAAAATAGCTATATTTGTATGTGCTCCAATCACAATCAGAGTTATAGAACCTGCAGATATTTTGTCAATCAGCACTTGCTGAGCAGTCGATTGTCGCAGCGGCCTATATCTCCTTTTCCCTTGCGGAAGAAAAGCTTTACGAATGCCGAGGTTAGTATCAATGTCCAAACGACCTCCAAAACCAACAGGTATGGCCTGTCTGTATCTGCAATTTCCTGCTGTTGTCATTCCCTGATTCAATAAAACACCATTGAACATAAGCACTTATTTTAAACACTGTTTTGCATTCTGCATAATCCAAACACACCTGTTCTATAATTGGAAGATATCCACCAACATCTGGAAGTATGGTACCATTACGGAGTATTCCACCTTCTCCTCCGACTCCAACTGCTACGTCGTCTCTTCCCATCATGTAAAGTATGTCATAAACATGATTCACAGAATGTCCAGCATTAGTCCAAGCATTTGCATTCAGAGTAACTCCCTGCTCGAAAATTTCGTAATCAAATCAACAACTGCGGTTATGAAACTTT